TCCTCATGCAACAACAGCTACTTGGGTTTATGCAGCATTTTGTGACAGCTATTGGGGCTCCACCGCCATAGCCTTCACCCTAGCTTGGTCAGCCTGCCACCACTTCTATGACTCCAGCTTTATAGCCCAGTGGGCTTTAGAGTCAGGGACATCCACCAGCACAGTTTGCTTCTCCTACAGAGCAGGTGTCCTAGTGGTTTGCCTCACCAGTGCTAGCCCCGCAGTTCACACCTCTTCAGATGGGTTTCACACCGGCTCAGACTTCCTCGCTGCTCGTGCCAGAGACTACAGTGTCTAGGAGCCTTGGTGCTTCCTTTAGTGAGTTGATAGGGCAGCCTACTCCGCCATATCTACATGTCCTAGGTCCTTCTACAGTTGCACCTATTATCGGGACTACAGAGACACTCCTTTCTTCTATTGCATCATCAGAGGCGCCTGCTTTAGTGGTACATGCACAGTCTATGGCCGCTCCAGTCCCTGATCCGACCCAGACCGCTTCAACATCACTTCTAGCTATAGAGGGTCAGACTGCTCAGAGCTCAGGGTCAGATGATGATGGCACTCAGTTCTAGCTCGCTCCTCGCACCTCAGCGCCCGACTCGTCCGCTGCAGCCCCACCGACTAACCCTTAGGTTTTGGTGTTTGACGCCAAAGGGGGAGAGGGTTCGAGTATGTTAGTCTTAGAGGGAGCGACATATCTAGGGGGAGCTTAGTTTATATATTAGCTTATCTATTATATTTGGAGTTTTATGTGTGATACACTATTATGCATTTGTCGTGTGTTTACTTTTATGCATCAAACTATATTTATGTGATAGTGATATCTATGTGATCGTGATATATGACATGTGTGCTCTCTATTTTGAATCATTTATATGTCATATCACTTGTGTTATGCTCATTTGCTTTTGCTTCCGTGTTTTACTCTGATGCAAATGAGCTTTATTACTTATACTCATGCTTATTTCATATCTTTGAGTACATCATGTTGGCTTGGGTCATATAAGCTTGCCTAACACTTTTGTTCTTATTGCCAAAAGCTTATATGAACCAAGCATATTAAAAACCTCATCTCTTTCACATACTCGAGGTGGTATTGTCATCAATCACCAAAAATAGGGAGATTGAAAGCATCTAGGCCCCTAGTTGGATTTCGGTGATTAATGACAATACGTGATTACTATGACTAACATGTGTTTTGCAGAGGCAATTACGTTAGATCATGGTAATGGAGATCGATTGGGCAATCATGGTGGTCATGCCCCTACGATAGAAATCATTTCGGTTTTCAAAGGATGGACGACAAGGTTAAGGATGGACTAGTTCTAAGTGTTGTTTGGAGTTAAAGAGACACTTAGAGTAGTTTAGGACTTTGTTTTTTCTTTGGCCATACTATTAAGGGGGTTATGGACGGGTAGCTTGACCAAGGTGAGTCTAGTGGGTTAGGTGTGGTGCACACTTGCTAAAACTAGCACTAGATAGCTCCTAAATAGCCCTTAGATCTAATGAAGCAAACTTCATTCACATATGATTGAGAGTTGAAAGTGAATGGAGGGTCAAATACTGACCGGACGCTGGTTCCGGGTTGACCGGACGCTAGCGTAGAGTCCGGTCAGTTCATTTGATCAAGGTGAAGTCGTCTGGCGTGACCGGACGCTGAGAGGTGAGTGACCGGACACTGAGGGCCAGCGTCCAGTCGACTCCAGTAAGGTTCCACAGAGGGAAAATCGTGACCGGACGCGTCCGGTCAGTGCTAACCGGACGCTGTCCAGCGTCCGGTCAGACTTTAAACACTGGAGTTCGGGGTGAAGTGACCGGAGCATCCGATCAACATGACCGGAGCGTCCGGTCACCCCGCAGAGGCACATAACGGTTCGTTTTTCAGCCGGTGTTATAAATACTTCCTCCATTCGTATGTGAGGGGACTTTTGCTCATTCCAACAGCTGAGAAACACCTTTGAGAGTGCTAAGAAGAGCAGAGCCCTAGTGAGGTGATTGAGATTTGAGAATCCCAAAGAGAGCCCTCATTAGTGAGATCAAGAGTAGCAAAGTGTGCATCCACCCTTCTCATTGGGCTTGTCGGGGTCAAGTGAGAGTCCGTGCTTGTTACTCTTGGTGATCGCCATCACCTAGATGGCTTGATGGTGATTAGGATCTTGGTGATCATCCGGAGAGCTTATGGATGACCCAACTCAAGTTGTGAGCGGTTGTGGGTGATTCACCGCGACGGAGTGTCGAAGAATCAACCCATAGAGAGCACTTGATCCTTGCGCGGATCAAGGAGGAGCTACACCCTTGCGCGGGTGCTCCAACGATGACTAGTGGGGAGTGGCGACTCTCCGATACCTCGGCAAAACATTGTCGCGTTCCTCCTTCTCTCTTTACCTTGAACATTTACTTTGAGCAATTCAATTCTTGTCATTTACATACCTAGAATTGTCATGCTAGAATATGATTGGAACTTAGGCTGCAAAACTTTTGTGCGTTAGATCAATATAAACACTTTTTAGGCACAAAGGGTTAATTGGGCTAACCGTAGAGTTTATTTATTACAAACAAATTTAGAATTAGACCAAATTCACCCCTCTCTTGGACATCTTAATCCTTTCAATAACTATGCCACGGTTCCATTTTTTGGCATGGGTTCCCCCTTCAAGAATTGTTGGAACAATATGAGTGCTTGCCGCGGGCGGTGGAGGGGAACCTCGTGACCTGCGCCACGGACAGTCACCAAGGTCAGGCCCTCGTACACTTGGCTCCATCCACCAACCTATTTAAAATCAAAATAACAAATGATTATTAGCACAGATTATTAACAGCTGTCGACTTGTAGGATATGTGAATACCAGAGTAATTTGCATATTGACGTGAAATGTGACTAGAAATTAAGTAGAATTCAGAGATGTATGTCCATCGGTCATGAGGTTCATATGTTCGAGGAAGGTCGGTTGAGTAGAATGAATAATGAAGCTGACCTGTTTCTTATCATACCACGGATACCAGCTGGTGGTAGTTGGGAGGCCAAGAGCATCAATGGAGTATCTTGTTGATGTTAAGGGGATTACGGAGTCCGTGTCTCCACTGCGAAATAAGCGAGAGATCAATCATTCTATAATGGAAGATGACTGACTTTGAACATTCAGTACTCCTACAGTTGTTGTGGCAAATAATGCAGGCTTCCCTGTCACGTCTTTGTGTGACTTCCTGGTCCAAAATATATCCTAAATAGTTGTGCGTGTGTGGTCTATTCCATCCCTACTAGTGGACTAGAGGCTATCCATGTCCAAGCAAAGGAAATTGTGTTGAGTAGTATTAGTTGAATTCAAATGCAGTTGTTTTTCATTTTCCAACTTATTGTTGTTGCAATTATTCTTCTTGATGACAGGGCAACCGTGACATTCAATCAAATTTCTATATAGTTGGCGATCGAAATTTTGGCACACATGATGAAAACAAGTTGGCAAACGCCACATAATTGCGACAAAATTGAAGCTGGAGCAAGAGACAACTTTCATGTGAACGACAATTTGGGGCCTTCTGCTATTCATTCATGCATGAAAACGACAGGTTCACAGCAGAATATTATGCACCTGACGCAATGCACGACCTATACCTACTTCTTCAGTCAATCATTCCGTCCGATCATTGCAGCAAAGTGTGACACGATAGCTGTAACGACCTTCTAGTTCTATGCATGCAATCAAATACACTGGGCGCCAATGCAATAATTTGATTGAAAATTATTCAATTCGGATTGGAATAGAGAAAACCACGTGTATTCTAAATTTCTACTTTGCCTATCAAACAGCCTCCAATCCTCCCCATGCATAAGAGCACACCGTTTGCTGCAACAACTGTCTAGGCAAATAATCGGTAGCTCTCCTGGTGCCCATTTTTTGTTTAAAAAAGTAAAGAAAAACGCTAGCTGCAACGAACTGACCTGAAGACCCATATCCTTAGGCCAGCTGCGATAAGCTCTTTGTAGATAGGAAGCACGGACCTCGGCGAATCTCCCCAGTTGGCGATGATTAAACCACTGAAGTTCATGGAGCAGGATTCAAAATGAAGCTGCAGCATTCAAAATGAAGCCGAAACACATTGCCACACATGCACGCCACGCACGAACCTGCAGGTCGCCCATGGATAGTTTATTCCGGTGAGGTTGGCGTGGAGAGCCCGCTGCACCTCCGGCCGGTTGTAGTAAACCGTGGAGTAGCTCTCGGTGCACGGGTCATACGATCCCCCCGCCATCACGTGGTGGTAGTGGCGGCGGCCTATCAACGACGACGGCTTCCTTGATCTCTTGGTCGACGACGTCTGGCCGCAGAGGGGCGTGTAGATGCTGTACCTGTCGATGTTCCCCTGCTCCGCCGCGGCCACGTCCGTCGCCGCGTTGCACGCCGGCGACGGGTGGATGATGGACTCGTTGAGGCCGCCGCAGGAGGCCTTGAGCAGCTGGTACGTGCCGTCGGAGATCAGCCCGTGGTTCCACCACGACTCGAACGCGCCGGCGTAGTCCGTGTGGTCGTTGATCACCGGGTTGCCGACCATGAAGCCTTTGAAGTTTATGATGGGTCTCGCGACGCCTGCGTTGTTCCGGTAGACGAGCTGCGACAGCTGCGTGACGTAGTGCCCTGCGTGCGTGCCGATTTTACTCAGTTTTTTTTATATATATTTATTTATATTATCATGTCATCAGTTACTATTGCAGTAGAAAAATAAAGCACGTGTTTATTATAGTAAGTATTACTTAACCTCCGTAGCTCTCTCCGGCAATGTAGAAATCGCGGTACTTGTAGTGCGGGAACCTCTGGAACCATTTCACCAGGAAAGTGTATGAATCGTGGGCTGTTTTGTTGTCGCCGCTGGTGTAAAGCTCGGAGCTGGTGTTGGTGTAGGAGAATCCCACGCCGGCCGGCGAGTCCAGGAACAAGATGTTCGCCGCTGCAGCAACACGGTATAAACACGCACAAAACTCAATCTCGATAATCAGCGTATAATTAACAAGCTACGTACGGACGGCAACAACGGTGCGCACCAGTGTTCCACCGGTTGTCGTTGAGGAATAGCGTCGCGCCGTCAGGCCGGATGCGGAACGCGCCGAGCTCCTGGGACGCGCCGTACCCCACCGCCGAGCACCCGGGCCCGCCGTCCAGCCACAGCAGCAGCGGCGCCGGCTGCGCCTCCGGCGGCACCTCCTGGAGCCAGTAGAACAGCGCCCGCCCGCCGGGGCCCTCGTCCACCGCCACGTACCCCGAGTACATCGGGAAGTCCACGGCCGGCTGCCCCGGCAGCCGCCCGATGCGGTCTCCGGCGGCAGTTCCGGCGGCGGCTCGCCATGCCAATGCAAGCAGCAACGACACGGGAAGAAGAAGCACTACTGGAGGGAGACCGCCGGTCATCGTGCTCAGCTTGTGCACGAACAATTGTTGGATGATGATTACAGAGACAATGTATACATTCCAATTTGTGGGATAGTACTTGTTTATTATATAGAGTGAAATAAACTGGCGGCCCTTTAACTTGTCGGCATGTGGCAGTCCGGTCCACGAACTTGCAAACGCGGAAAATGGGCCCCTGAACTTGTCAAGTTGTTCACCGCAGATCCATTTCCCATCCGGCGCGCCCTCCAGGCGACGTGGCAGCGCCAGCGTGGCGGACAAAGCATGTGAGCCGCATGTTTCAATACCGAACACGGCGGGGTGGCGCTGCGTCCACACTGTTTAGTGGACCGGGAGGCGCGAGACGCGGCAGCGCCAATGGCCGGCAACGGCGAGCTCGGCGGGGTGGCGCTGTGGAGCGCTAGCGCCTATGTGGGTTACACGGGGGTGGAGAGCGCGACGAGGCGAACTCGCCTAGGACATTCCCCGAGGCGGAGGACGTCGGGAGCGGCGGTACGTGCGGCGAGGCGGCTCGGCCACGGCGGCACAGCTCCGGCGAGCCAAAGTGACGCGCAGAGAGGGAGAGGAAGAGCGCAGGAGCACTAGAGGGTGCCTTAGCACACCCCAAAGCTCGTCGACAAGCTCGTGTCTGCTGGAAAGCGGCAGAGGAGGAGACCGACGGCGGCGGCGGCGCTGCTAGCTCGGGATGAGGCGGCGGTGCCTGTAGAGCAAGAGAGGGAGCACGGGGAGAAGCGGAGTGAGTGTGGAGTGCTCATGTGACACTCTGGGCACCATTTTAGAGGGAGAGAGAGAGACCGCGAGAGGAGAGGAAAGGCCGGTCAAGGAGCTCGGCTCCATACCGACCATGGCGGATCTCTGACTCGGCGCTGCGGGACGAGCGGCTCGGGGCGAGGGGCTGTGGCGCGTTGAAAGGGTCCGCGCGGGGTGCTCAGTCGTGCAGGGGACGCGGGAGAAGGGCGTGGCCAGACGTGGTCCAAGCGCTGCCGGCGACGGCGTTCGCCCTGTGCGGAGCGGGAGGTAGAGGGCGACCCTGACGTGAGGGGCCTACATTGAAACGTGCGGCTCACGTGCTTTGTCCCCCCGCTGGCGCTGCCACGTCGCCTAGAGGCGCGCCGGATGGGAAATGGACCTACGGTGAACAACTTGACAAGTTCAGAGGCCCATTTTCCGCGTTCGCAAGTTCGTGAACCGGACTGGCACAGGCTGACAAGTTAAAGGGCCGCCAGTGTATTTCACTCTATTATATATATACAAATTAGCGTACTCTGAAGTCTAATTTTTTACCTGAAGCATACGTAGAGGGGCACACGTTTTTCTGCATACGTGTGTCGTCCTACCGGCCACTCGTCCTCAACGCGACCTACGGCGATGGCGGCGACGGATCTGTGATTTATCATTCCATAGAAAAAAATTGTTTCATATAATCTGTGGATCTGTGGTCTTGTGATTGTTTGAAGGTAGACGAAGACTGGAGGTAGAAGAAGGGTGGAGGCTGTTGGATCTTAATCTTATAGTGCAAAAAAAAATCATGTGTTGAAATTGCATAAAACACATGGTTGTGTAGTAGACAGACTAAAATGGGTTTGTCTCCTCCTTAGGTGACTGATGGTTTGCTTAACCATCAGTCACCTTCCTCCGGTGAGCAGAAACGAAGGAAACGACGCTCGAGCACGCGCTGGTCAAGCCTTGCCTTCCTCGGTAAGAGTCGGACCGGATGTGGAATCACAGACGGGAGGAAAGAGCACGCATGAGGATCCCTTGGCAGCGCACACAACCCGCTGATCTCACGGAGGCCAGCAGGCAGCAGCAGCTGCGCGCGCACAAGGCAGAACCGAGCCGCACGCCTACGCCGTCGGTTGAGGCCTGGCCGACTAGGTCCATCCCTTCCTACCGCTACACATAGGATGTTTGGACACTAATTTGAAATATTAAATATAGACTAATTTAAAAACTAACTGCACAGATTGAGACTAATTTGCGAAACGAATCTATTAAGCCTAATTAGTCCATGATTTGACAATGTGGTGCTACAATAAATATGTGCTAATGATGGATTAATTAGGCTTAATAGATTCATCTCGTAAATTAGTCTCCATCTATATAATTAGCTTTATAATTAACTCATGTTTAGTCCTACTAATTAGCATCCGAACGTCCGATGTGACGAGAACTGAACTTTAGTCTATGTAACCAAACACCTCCTTCTCTTTTCTTCTCTTTCTTCGTTAACTAAGGTGTCACATCAGCATTTTTGTGTTGATAGTGCACTCAATTTTATGAAATCTGCTCCTAGTTTCAGGATGAGACTGCCCTTGTATACAGATCAGAGAAGCATTTCTCTGCGGCGTTTTCTTTTGGGTAATGTACGGAACGACGTTGAAGAGGCGCATACCAAAAACAACCCAAAAAAATGCAACCGTACGAGAGTGGAATATAAAGCTAGTCTCGGTGGAGTTCCGTGGCTCTGTTTTAAGACTTTCTAATATTAAAAATAGTGTAAACAAATTTTATCTTTATAAAACTTATTTTATCCTATAAAATTATTTTTATCTCTTTTTATTTAAACTATGTCACCAACTTATTTAATACCCACTGGTCTCCAGAGGGACCACGCAATAATAAGGAGGGCAGACAGTAACGCGTGAATAGTGTACCCACTTACTGCAATCCTGCAGGCATGTGCGGACCACGCACGTACTACAATTAATAATGCAAATTGTGAGGCGACGAGTTAGGACTTGCTAATTAGTTGCTGACTTAGCGCGTGTTTATGACGTTTGGTTTAGCGAAGTAAACAAGAGGTTATTAAGAGGGTGCATTGCAGTTTTGCGTTTTGTTGTAAATGTACTCCTATTAAATTTCCTAGCAGCTACGGAAAAGGGTGAATAAAGGCGCGTGAACCAACTTAAAACTTATAAAAGGGTGACTTATAAGTTTGTGGTGTTTGGCAAAATCAGTCACTTATTTCACTTTTTAACTTATAAGTAGGTGACCTATTTGGAACCAAACATGCCCTTAGTTTCAGAAATTTGGAATTCACCCAACTCTGTGCAACGTTTTTTTTTATTTGGCAATTAGTGTTCAAACATGGATTAATCAGGCTCAAAATGTTCGTCTCGTAATTTCTCACTAAACTGTGCAATTAGTTTTTTTTTCGTGTACATTTAATGCTCCATACATAAGCCGCAAACATTCGATATGACAGGTACTATAGCACTTTTTTTGATTTTGAGGTGGAACTGAACACGAGCTCATGACGCATGACGCATGTAGCGATGCACAAGAGGTCAGAGGGTGCATTGCATTTGCATGTGATAAGTACTCCTGTTAACACCTTGTTTAGTTTGTTCCTAACTTCCAAAAGTTTGACATATGAATGTTTATGGAGTATTAAATGGAGCATTAAATATTACGAAAAGAAAAACTAATTGCATTTGGTGGGAAATTTTGAACGAACATTTTGAGCCTAAATAGTCCATGTTTGAACACTATTTACTAAATAAAACGAAGAATTAAATATGGCCCCCAAATTCTAAAATTGAACTAAACAAGGGCTAAATTGCATAGCAATTTAAGCGGAATAAATTCCGATTAATGAATCTTTTAAGCCTAATTAGTGCAAGTAGGTAGCAATGTAGCACCCAAAGAATGACCTAGCGGGTGTTTGTTGCTCCTCCTAAAGTTTAAAGTTTAGTTATTTGTTTCATCGGATGTTTGACATATGCATGGAGTATTAAATATAAATTAATTAATTAAACCGATTGCATAGTTTGCGACTAACTTACGAGATGAATCTTTTAAGCCTCAATTAGTCCATGATTTGACACCAAATTTCACGAACAGCATGCACTAATGATGGATTAATTATGCTTAATAAATTCGTCTCGTGGAGTAGATCTTGTGGGTTCTATAATTTGTTTTTTTTAGTATCCGAACAGCCCATACGACATCCTCTATTGACACCTCCTAAAATTTTATCACTAGATCCAAACACCCCTTAATTGGTGTGGCGGTAGTTTGTGGTGCTCCACGGCTATGTGTGAACATACCGGACTTGTGAGATGTCCATAAGGGCTAACGGGCTTCCAAGTGCCGTCAGTATGATGTAATTTTTGCAAAATACTCTCTCATAAACTGCATTCAATAAAGAGAGATGCAAGCCGTCGTCTGCGGTGAAAGCAGCGGCATCGGCTCGTGCTCCCACGCCAAACCGGCGCCTTCATTGCGCATTGTATGAATCGTCGACTCGAAGCGCCAAATTCTCGAGGATTGTGCGGTAGATGGTGGAGCGAAGAGAGTCGAGCGGCATCCCTGTCTTGTGGCGGAAGCTGTCCACGAACCGGCCCGCCGTTGTCGAGGGAGGCAAGGTCAGCGCGTGATGGTGTAGCTCTTTCGATGAGCGGCGCCACTGCAGCTTCTGGTCGTCGCTACTTTGTTCATGGCGAAGTGACTATTGGGAGGCGGTGAGTGGCATGAGCTCGTCGAGCGATACTTGTACGCAGGCCGAGGAGTGAGGAATCGCTGGCTTCAAGGCCGGTGCGGGGAGCTCGCCGCACTGCTCATCACCGAAGCAAGGCCATGCACTGGAATTTTGTCTCATCATGATGGAGGAGACGCTAGAGAGAATACAGAAGAGATAGGAAGAGAAAAAAACGGAGATAAGAACCACACGGTCACGAGTGAGCAGAGGTAGAGGATAGGAAGATATAGAGCAATATGGTATTTTCATATACTTTTGTTTTTTTTTTGTCATTGTTTTTTCTTTACTTTCCATCTATTTTTAATATATTTCTAATTTGTTTATGCTTGATCTTTTGTAGCAATGATTGTCTTATTTATGCTTAATCTTTTTTTTTATCAACAAGCAACACAATGGTATACATGAATCATATTTAGACTTGATCTTGACTACATGCAGGCATTAAATAATTAACAGACAGCTAAACAGACAACCCACTATACACGCTATCTGTTTAGCTATCTGTATGTAGTACGACGTC